GGTCTTTCTTCATAGTTCGTAATGGACCTGAAAGTGGCAGCAAGATTATGGTTCAATTTCCACGTAACCAGTGTAAAGACCTTCCCAAAAGTGATGTTTTACAAGATAGTAAATGGAATCATCTTCGTGGACCATTCAAGGAAGTCCAGTGGAATAAGATGGAAGGTCGAAACTTTGTTTATAAAATGGAGCTGCTTATGTCTGCACTTAGCCCTTGTCTACTATGATTTTTTTCCAGAAAATTTTCCAGAGTTTTTTTCCAGAGACATTTTCAGGAACTTTGACTTGAGATGCTTGCAGATTAACTATAAGCACAAAGGAGAATAATCTTCCAAAGGAATATTGTTTTTAAAAAATAATTAGGCCTGTCATGATGACGCACACTGGATCCCAGCACTTGAGAGATAGAGGCAGGAGTATCTTGAGTTCAAGATTAGCCTAGGCAACATTGTTAGTGAAATCAAGCCTAGCCTGGACTACCAAGTGAGACTGTGTCTCAAAAAAGCACACAAACCAAAAAAAACTTAACAATCATAATTAATAAATTTTTACCTAGCAGTTTGAAACTTTTCACTTTATAAGTGACATAAACTTTGAAATGCAGAAGATATGTACAGTTGTGGTTATACAGTATGGGGAGATGTGAAATAATGCTTTTTTATACAGTTAACCTGAAAATGTTACTAACTTAAGGACATGAATGTGCTTTTTAAAATATTTCTTCTTTGATACTGGCATCAAATAAAATGTTAAATAAAATAGTTAAAGATCTTTCAAGTACAATACTGTCTGAACTCTTAACCTAAATGAATTGTCTTTAATCAATTAACCATCCTACCATTTCTTTAAAGAACATTGAAACCCTTATGAGTAGCTTTCATACAGAAATTCACTTACACAGGCAAGCCAGGCCCTCTTCCTGCAGTATAAGGAAAGTGGGCCAGCCGAAGGAACAGGTCTTCCCTTGAACACGGCTCTCCAGTGTGCTCCTTGTTAGTGAGTGAAGTATCTTTTCTCCAGTTGTCTTGTTGCCTGCCTTGGTTCTAATCTACAGAGGTAAGAGCTCCTCAGAAAGGATGGTTGAAGGCAGTGAAGAAAGCAGATACCAGGCTTCCTCCTGGTTTTTGGTCTGTTCTCCCACTTGAGTGGGCAGTGCATGATGTTCCCAACCACCCCACCCTGACCTTGGGTTGCCTCCTGCAGTTGAAGTCTTATATATTATCCCTCTGTTTTCTCAAAGGAGAAAAAAAGTAATGGATCGATGGGTTGCCTTTTCTAAGTAACATATTTGCACTTCTTGGAAATACACCCCAGTGCCTGAAGAATTCCCATTAGTAAGAGATGGAGGCTTATGGGCCTTTTGGTATCACTGAGAATAGTATCATATGGTAAGGTCTTGTAAGTGAAGCTTTCAATTTTTAAAGCATAACTCCATAGTAATAAAATCCTTTTTATTCTTCTTTCAGTTTAAAAGAAAAAAAAATGTAGCTTTCTTAAAAGAAAAATCTTTGTGCTTTTGTTTGCATCTTGGGCTAGGGGTAATTCATTGGTAGAGCTCTCTCCTAGCATGTGTGATGCCCTGGGCTCCATCTGCAACATTGAAAAATAAAAATAAATAAAATACACGCACCCACACATAAGCACTGCATTTTTCTGTCCATGGAAATTAGAAAGAATTGATGTAATCTTCATTAGTTATTTAAAATCTAGTGCTTCAAAAATTGTGGTGGTCCGAAAAATTTGCCTTGGCTAATTGGCTAATCTGTACAGTTCTACTCAAGTTTTTCACATGATTTTGAAGTCTCATACTAGTATGCTAAATACCACATTTTCACAGAAGGACCCGTTTTTGGTGGTGTTTTTTGGATTTTTTTGTTTGTTTTGGCAATACAGAAGACTAAACCTAGGGTCTTTGCCCTAAGCAACATTCCCAGCTCCTGGGCCCCTTTCTGAAAAGGCAGTTTTACTCATTAATATTCATAAACACAGCTGCTTTGTTAGAGATTCCAATTTTTCCCTTCTGTCACAATGTAGAATATTAGAAGGGCCTTTTGTATGTCACAGTATTGGAAGCAGATATTACTCCTCCACTGCTACCTACATTTACCTGCTAGAAGAAAAAATTGGTTAAGTGAAAATGATTGTCATATTTTCTCTCTTCCTTTTGATTGTGCACAATGTAATGAGTGATGTGAAATTACTATCACTAAACCAAAGAGAGTTGTTATTGGCAAATACAGCACAATGAATGCTGAAACTTGGGAATGTCATCAAATAGGAGGCAGTAGAGATTCATTTCCTTGAAATTTAGGTTTTCTAAAGTAACATCTGAAGGCATGGTATGTACACTATAGCGCCAAAATCTGCACATGTACGCACCCCATTCATCGTTTAAGGGCGATTCTCTCTTCATGCACTAAAGTGGACAAAGGAGCTTTTAGACAAATAGCCTTCTATGAATGTGCTTTCCAGAGATTGATGCTCTGTTTCAGACATTTTAGAATCATTCCGTCTAGCTGAAAGAACCCCAGCCTTTTAAAAATACTTTATCTTGATGCAGTCATCAAATTGCCCAAGCTGGGCTCAAACCTGTGATTTTCCTGCTTCAGCCTCCCAGAATACTGAGGTCACATGTGTGCCATGTTTTTATTTTTGTCTTAATTGCTTCGGCAAGCTTATAAACATTGCTTGTAAAATGAAATTTTAGCCAGATGTGGTCATACATGCCTGTAATTGAGCTATTCAGGAGACTAAAGCTGGAGGATGACAGATTCGAGGCTAGCCTGGCAAACTTAGAGCCTGTCTCAAAAGGTGGCTGGGGATACAGTTCAGTGGCATGCATGAGGCCCTGTATTTAATCCCCAGAACTGCAAAGGGATGGGGGAGTAGCTCGGTACAAGGCCTTGTTCAGCTCTTGGTGACCTCTCCCAAAATCTTTTAAGATATAAAAACACCTTTTATTTAATTTTCATATGCATAAAACTGCTATGAAATGTAAAAATTTCTGAATGTTTGTATGCTTATGGATCAGCACAATACTTTAATTAGAATGGATAAGGGCCAGGCACAGATATTATCCCCTGTTATTTTAAACTCCCTCTGAGAAGAGTAGCTAACTGAAGACTGTCAAGAGCATACGTCCTCCTTTCTCTGTTCAGTTAAGTCCCTGGCTAGAGAATGGCCATTACCCATCTAAAAAACCCTAGGAACTGAAGCAAGAGAGAACTTAAGCCAGAAAAACAACAGCTTAGTTTTTATATTAGGAACTCTTGTGCCTTGTGTTTGTTTACATTTTTCCAGTTTAATAGTTCAGTCTGAATTACTTGCACCTGGAGGGATGTGCTGTGTAACTAAGGAGAAAACCAGTTACTTCCTTGACAAGTATTTAACAGGTTGGCAAAAGAGCTACATCTGGATGTTGCCTCTGTTACTGGCTAACTATGCACCTGACAAGGTGACCTTCTGAAATTATTCCCTTGCATAGAATGGGAGACAAGGACAACTTCTGAGCTAATGTCAAAGCTTTGGATAAGGTTAGTAATGAATGGTAATTTTAATATGCTATGCAGATAAAAAACAGTAAGCAGCTGTGATTCTAAAAGTTAAACAATTAGAAGTTGGAAAAATAGTTGTCAACTTTATGACCTGGAGAAAGCATTTCAGAATTCCAGTATTCCCATTTATAAATGTTTTGTATGTGAAGGCCATGATTGTTTTTGTGAATATAAAGACTGGGGTTTATTCCAGTTATTTTTTAAAGCCATGCTCTATGGCCTACTTCCATTTATTTCTCCCTGCCTTTGTCTTTAATTTGTTCAGTTTATCTCCCTAATCCTGTTCTGCACTTGTGGTGCTGACCACAAGTATTTGCTCTGCTTTCAATAAACTAGAGAAGTATCTTGCTTTCCTGAAATTTGGGCACAGGAAACCTTTGCCAGCTATGCAAACTTTGAGGATGGCAAGGGCAAGTGTTTCCACTTCCCCTAATATCCCCACCATTCCCATTACCACCACCTGCTCCCAAAGAGCGTGCCTTCGAGTCACATCCCTGGGAGTCTGCCCTGTCATACTAGGTCCTTGCTCACACCTGGGCTCTCTTTGCCTCTCTTTTTCCTACCTATTGTTACATTTATCCAGCTCTTCTGAACGGTGTCCTCCCCTAGGCCTTGACTCTACATCCTGCATTGGGCAGGACTGGTCTCTCACTGCTTTGCTCCTCACCTTTGTGTGGTATTGCTTCAAATCAGAGTAAGCCTGAAGTGCTTGAAGGTATCCACTGTTTTTATGGGCTTCAGAGCACTTGGGTTCTCTGCTCCTGCTCTGTTTGCACACCCAGAATGAAATGAAAGAGAACAACGTACACCTTCTTGGGTTCGTAGATGATACTCTCTGAAAGGACAGTGTTGATAAAGTGTGTGTTATGTAGGGCAACTTTTCCACCACTCAACTTGGTGGGTACAACTCTTCCATCCTAGTCTTAAGCCTCTGCCAGGACAAGACTCTATGGCAGTACAACTAATATTCTGGAAGCACAAATTTCCAACTGGTTTTCTGGGTACAATACAGGGAGAATGCTGGTATTAATAAAATACTGTCAGGCCCGGGATTTAGCTCAGTGGTTCCGGCGCCTGCCTCGCAGGGGCTAGAGTTCCATCCCCAGTACACAAACTAAATAAATAAAAATAGAGTACTGTTTTTCTGAATTGCTAAAACGCATTTGGAACTGATGTGATTAGTTCCATTGTCATTTAAAAATGTGCCAGACCCTGGCTGTGTGGAAGGTTTTGTGATCCTTAGTACTGAGTGGAATCATCATCCAAAGAATTCTTGGCAGGATTGAGTTCACACAGTGACTAGGGCTTTATATTCCTGTTTTATTTCATTCATTTTTTAAAAATTTCTTCACAGCTTGAAACACAACATAATCTTACATTGGCCAATCTCTATGATTTAATATTCTCTTTTTTTAAAAAAACAGACAAAAACCTCAGCCTCCGGAATTTAAAAGTTAAGAAGTTTTTAAAATGCATAAATAAATCCTCTTTTCAAGGAAATGGAAACTGAGGTTCTTTGGGAGCAATTTAATTTGCATCTGAGTTTGCCCGTGGAGGCCTCCTCTGCACGTCCTTCTCCATTTCTTTTATGATGAAGCTTGCTAGTCCTGGCTGCTAACAAGCTGAGGGGTTAGAGTTCTGGTGAGGAGGCATGCGCTCCAGCAGCTACCCAGCTCCAAACCCATCTAATGCTTCTGGGCTTTCTGTGAGAAAGAGAAAAGCATAACCAAATCATCCTTGATCTCACTTTTCTCAAATACTCCACCCTGATGCTTCAAAGCACACTAGAAACTGTCTTGGCACAGGGCCTGGCTTCTCTGGCTGCTGCCTGTGGAGGGAGCATGGGCATGTGATTTTGCATGTGTGTACACAGGACATGGCTTGAGAGTATCTACTTTGTGTCAGGTACCAGAGATACACGTCACTAGTATAGATTTTGTTCTTTTGCCTTTTGAATCAATTATGGTAGTACCTTTGGAGCCTTCCTCCATACCAGGAGCTCCTTGCCTGATCACTCCAGGTGATCTCTGGCTTTGTTATTTAGGAAAAGGCCTCTAACAAACTTCTCCAGACTACTCTTTACCTTCCACATGGGAAATGGCAAAGATAAGGGCATTGGTAACCTGAAAGGAAAGAGAAAGAAAGGAATATTCTAGCACTTCTTCACGTTTGCTCATGTGAATTTTCAATTGAGGCCTGGGAACACAGGTAGTGACCTCAACCTCCATAATAATCAGGGTTCTAACTTTAGTTGTAGCTATGAATATTGGAGAGAGAAAAAAAAGAGAGCAAAGAATAAATTCATGCCTGCTTTTAGAGCTTGCCAAATTGAAATTGGGATGGAAAACTTTCGGGTAAACCTTGTGACCAACAAAGACCAGCTGGAATGTAATCTCTACACTTAGCTGGAGCCACAATAACTCAGGTCATTTTAATTTCTAATATTTGGTGTAGCATTTTCCAATATAGCTTTCCAGATCCATGAAGTGTTCACGTACTTTTCTTAAATTGCTCCCAGTGCTCCAAGCATGCTTCCTGAGATACTCTTACTGTGAGGTAGGTGATGGCCAAGTGTTCCTCAACCCAAGTAGGAGAGAGGAAGGGCTTGACTGGGGTCATGAAGTGTTGGTGACAGAGACAGATCTGAAGCCCAAGGTCATGAAGTGTTGGTGACAGAGACAGATCTGAAGCCCAAGGTCATGAAGTGTTGGTGACAGAGACAGATCTGAAGCCCAAGATCACTGATGTTCCAGTTGTATCACCCACTCTGCAGGCTCAGCTTCCACACAGGCATCATTCCACAGCTTTCGAGGAGGCCAGAGGCTGCCCATAGGGAAGATGAGCCTCATTTTTTTTCACACTGGCCTAAATTTGGGCCATAAGAGGAAAAATGCAATGAATTTCACAACAAGAGAGGAAGAGAAAGCATATTGTCCTTATTCCCTGCATTCTAAGATGGCCTCTCAGTACACTGAGCTCCTCTCCCTAAAGCTCCAAGCTACTGGGCTTCACCTCTAAGCAAATCACCACAGCACAATAGCATCCTCCCACCCCTAAGGCTCTTTCTACCTCTGCTTCTAATGGAGCAGATGGTTTAAATGCCTCAGGTTTTCTCAGGAGCTCCCACAGCAGTGGTGGTGGGATTTGAGAAAGGGGTTTGGAGGGCACAGTAGTGTGCAGAGCAGATAGCACAAAGGCACAGAGTGTGTTCCAGGGCTGGCTACACATCACAAGTTCCCGACATAAGGACTCCTCCAATAGGCCATGCCTGGGGCCAGAGCCAGTGTCATGAGCAACAGCTAGTGCTTGCTCTATGCCATTGGTTACAGGCTAGCATGTCCTGAAGCTGCAGCCAAGCAGGGCTCCTGGTTGAAAGTTTCAATCTCTCTTCTCCTTGGATTCAGTGCAATCCCTAAAATTGATCTTGTCCAAACCATGGTCTCCAACTTCATGCAGTCAACTTTGTTACCCTCATGCTGTCCCATCAGGGATGGGTTGACTGGCAGGACCCACGGAAGCTGTAGAGTAAATTGACTGTGTTTATTCCTTTGGCTGGAAAATGTTTTCCTCTTGAGGTAGGAATGTAATTGGGCCCAGCCTTGGCTAACACTCAACATTTTGCAGCTCAATCTCCTCAGTTGTGCTTTCTGCAAAGCAAAAGACAAGTCAACAAGTTGAAAATCAGCCACAAGATGGTCTATTGGTATGAATAAGATAATATGTATTACCTGTGACCTCAAACCATGAACAGATGATTACAAGACCCAGAAAGTTACCTTTGAGTTTGTGTCTTCTCTTCCTCTGGAATTTATATGCACACCGATTACAAACCCACATGAGGCTGATTAATACTGCGGCCAGAGCAGCAAGTAAAGCAATAAAGACAGCAACAAAGTGGAGGTCTTCATAGCGGATCTCTAGAGGTGAGGGAAGGGAGATGAAGGTAAGGTCTCTTTAAATGTCATGACACAGGCCATTCACACAGTTTAGAGGGCCCTGGGGCCCTGGGGCTGTCTTACCAGACACATGCAGCACAATGGAGCCAGACTGGCTGCTCCCCAAGTGCTCTGTCACAGTGATGACATAGTAACCAGAATCCCTCACACCCACACTGAAGAGTTGGATGGAGCCATTGTCAAAGGTGCAGACTCTGTCCTTGTGGCTTTCAGAGATGTTAACCTGAGTCCCTGGTTTCCATTCCACAATCTTCCTCTTGCCCCAGTTGGATATATACTTCCACTCAATGGTGGGCACCCCATGGCAGGAGTAGTCAACTGATAGCAGGATGTCTTCTTGTACAGTGGCATTGATGGTGGACTGAGGAATGTACAGTGATACACCATGACCTGCAAGATTGAGTGGTAAATGTTGGGCACACTTTATATGAATTTAAATCAACTTGATTAATTCATTAGCTTATTTCTTAAGCATTTTCTGAGTGCCTATTATATGCTAGCAGTGTCTTGAGGTGCTGGTCATGACCCTGATTATAAGGGTGGACAAAATACAAGTTTCCCTGTGTCTAGTTTGCATTTGGGGGAGACATACAAGGGTTCAATAAGCAAATGAGATAAAATATGAGATGATAACAGCGCTTTGAAGGTGATGAACAAGGGTAATAGTGACTAATGAAGGTGATACCCAACATTAGATGGTCAGAGAAGAACTCACTAAGGAAATAATGACATTTGAAAAGAGACCTAAAAGTCAAGGAAGAGGCAGCCTTGCAAAGAAAAGGGAAGATCAACACTTCAAATGGAGAAAACAACAGATGAAAAAAGCTGTGTCATGACAGTGAGTATGGCCATGCTTGAAGGTCAAGGAGGCAGCCAGAGTGCTGAAACACCAGGGGAGGTTTAGGTCCTGAGGTTAGGGAGCTAGATGGGAGCAGAGTCACAACATCAGAGACTCAAGGGCCATGGGAAGCTGCAGGATGGCTTAGGCAGCAGGGTGACGTTCCCCATTCAATTGGGAAAGTCTATCATGGAGAACCTACTGGGGGTGGGGGCCAAGTGGGGAGCAGTCAGATGGCTGCTACGGGAGATAAGGAACAGGGGTGGCAGACTCGGAGATGAGTGAGGCATATGGTAGATATCCTGACACATCTCCTAAGAGCAACATAACCATATTATCTATCCCTGAAAATTAACTTTGGTGTACTATTCTCTAATATATAGTATATCTTCAAATTTCTTCAACTGTCCACAAATGACGTCTCCTGTTTTGTTTTGTTTTGTTTTGTTGGTACCAGAGATCAAACTCAGGTCCTTGCATTTGTGAGGCAGGTGGCAGAACCACTGAGCTAAATCCCGGCCCCAAGATGTTTCCTGTTTTAATGCAGAATTAAAAATTGCTGATGGCATTTGATTGTCATGTCTTATCGCCTTTTGCAAAATTTCTCTACCACCTCTTATTTGGGGTGGTGTGCTTTCATGACAATATTTTAGAATACTATTCTAAATTTGTTTCAAGTAATGGCAAAAGTACTGCAAAAGTGGTACTTCCACAATTCACCACTTCAGAAGACAAATGTGGTGAGTTTGTCCTGTGGTTGGGAAGCTGGGTTAGATAGTTTGGGTGGCATCTGACTTGTCTTTCCTTTTCCCTTTTATTGATAAGTCATCATGAAATAATATTTAGAGACTATGTAACTACACAGCAACAGTGGATACACAGATTTTAGTATTTGCTGTTGAACCTCACTTAGATTAGTTATTTCACAGATGGCTGCAAAATGGTCATTTTTTTCAAATCTGTTATTCTTTTAAATTAATTAGTTGGCATTCTATAAAGAAGAGATATTTTTCTATGTACCTGCCCACCCTTTTTTCCTTAGTATCTTTAAAACTAATAGATTTTTCTTATGATGTCACATTCTATTACCATTTCTTTCTGAGTTGTTCTACGTTTGGCCAGTGAGAGCTTCCTCAATACATTTATGTGTTCTTTGAAATGTCCTATTTGGTCTACGGCCATAGAATGCACCCGATTTTATCTAAAATGTCCTATTTCTTTTTAAGCATTTTCTTGGACTAATTACACTTTAATAAGGACCTTCTTGTCTTAAAGCCAACGAATGAGAACTGGGAAATTCTTGCACTGGGGCAGTGTCTTAGTTATTTTTCTTTCATAGCTGAGACAAAATACCCAACATCCAAAGTTAAAGGGGGAAAGGTTTATTTGGCTTAAAGTTCATAGTGATTTCAGTCCATAATTAGCTGGCTCAAAGGCACAGTGGCAGAGCAGCAACAGTTCACAGCGGACAGACAGTAGCAAAGCAACCAGAGCAGAGGGAGAGGCATCACAGAGGAGAAAGTTCATGGAGCCCCAAGGTAGCAAAGGCAACAAGAGACCTTAATAGCGTTTTTCTGCCCCCTTTAACTTATTCAGACTACTTAGGATGTGTATCACTCATACTCTTAATCCTAGTGCCCTCAGGCCTAGCCCCACCATGAATCAGTAACACACCTCCAAAATAGCCCCTCCTTATTCTCATAAGACTTTGGGGAGACATCTAAATAGAAGCCATAACAGGTAGATTGATGAGAAGATCATTTTGGATAAGTATCGTTTTTGCATCCCATACTCACTCACACCACTTGATGTGGCCAGTAGCCCCACTTGTGAGCATCTTGGGGAGAGAAGCCCGGGACATAGTCATGGTGTTAAACTATGCACACACGGGAACTCAGTGAAAGACCGTTGGCCTTCCAAGGTAGAAGGCCAACCTCCCTCCCAGTGTGGAATTAAAAGAGCTCAGCATTCAACCTCTGCCAGAACTCTTTGTTGCAGTGATAAGAGTGCTCTCCACCACAAGGCAACCTTTCTCTACTATGGGAAGCTTGATTTAGGAAGCTGCTCCCTTTATAGTGATGTAGACTACAGAAGTTGTATCCTAGTATATGAAGCCCTTCAAATCCTGAGGACCATTCCCTTGAATCATTGGATCATATCTCATTCAGCCCCTCAATATGTGACCTTTTCTTCCTTTCTTTTTCCTCCTCTCCCTCCTCTCTCCTCTCTTCTCTTCTCCCCTTTCTCTCCTCTTATCCCTCCCCCTTCTCTTGCTCCTTCTGTGCTGGGGTTTGAATCTATGGCCTCATCACTGAGTTATACTCCTAGATTTTAAAAAAAAGGTATCTTGAGACAGGTTCTCATCAGGTTGTCCAGGTTGGCCTCTGACTTGTGATCCTTCTGCATCAGCCTCCAGAGTAGCTGGGATTACAGGAGTGTGCCGCCATGCCCAGAAGCACACAGTTATCCTTTAACACAGAAAAAAACAAAAAACAAAAAAACAAAAAAACAAAACTTTAAGGCTCCTTCAATTAGAAAAAAAAAAGGACAAATTCAGGTCAGCCCTTAGAGGGCAGAACTCATGGTGTTTACAATGTTTGGCACATAATGATTGGTCAATAAATATTTGTGGAGTAAATGAGCAAGTGAATGACCAAATATTTATAGAAATAAGCATCAGCTGATTCTTGATAGGAATCTTGCTGCTTGCATGGTTTGAGAAATTAGGTACATATAAAAGCTAGCATATAGAGAGGAAAGAAAACTATAGTTCAGGATTTTACATGCCAATCATTATGCACTTTGCAATCATTATCTCTTATTTTTTTAATGAGTGTCAGTAGCATGCTCACATAATAATGAATGGCAAAGGTGAATTTTCAAGGTTGTTCTGCCTGGTTCCAAACCCTGTTTTCTCTCTCTCTCTCTCTCTCTCTCTCTCTCTCTCTCTCTCTCTCTCTCTCTCTCTCTTTCTTTCTATTTATCTGTATTCCTGATTTTCCTGAACTCAGATACAGTTAGAACAGTGATTACAATAAAATTTAGAGATCTAATGATAAATTTTTGTCATAATCTCTGTGCAGTTCACGTACCATCCGTTAATTATGTTGGTTAAGGTAGTGACAGACTCATCTCCAACCCTTTTAAAAGTCTTAGGAGCTGTGTCTCACCCCTGCAATCCCACAACTGAGGAAGCTTGAGGCAGGAGGACTTTGTGCTTCTCCTAGGCAACTTAGTGAAAAAAGTACTCTATTTACTCTGTTTCTGATTTTGATGTTTTTTAGATTCCACATATAAGTAAAACTGATCATAGAATATTTGCCTTTTTCTGTCTGGCTTATTTCACTTAGCACAATATCCTGCAGGTTCATCTGTGTAACCACAAATGGAAGGATAATGTATTTCTTATGGGTGGACAACACAAATATTCTATAATTTCTTTGTGTATTTATCTATCCATGGACATTTAGGTGGTTTCCAGGTCTTAGCTATTGTAAGTAATGCTGTAATGAACATGGGAGTACAGATGTCTCTACAACACACAGATTTCATATTGTTTGGTTACATGCCCAGAATATCTAGATCATATTATGTGTGGTTATATTTTTAATTTTTTTTTTGAGACAAGGTCTCACTATGTAGTTGAGACTGACCTGGAACTCACTGTGTGGCCCAGGCTGGTCTCAAACTCACAGCAATCCTCCTGCCTCAGCCTCCCAAGTGCTGAGATTACAGGTGTGTGCCACCACGCCCGGCTATATTTTTAATATTTTGAAGGACTGCCATATTGTTTTCCATAGTGACTACACTAATTTGTATTCCCATCATGTGTGAAGGATTTGTCTTCTCCACAATATTTCCAGCATTTTGTTACCTTTAGTTGTTTTAATAATAGGCATTTTAACAGTTGTGAAGTGATATTTCATTGTGATTCTGATGTGCACTTCTCTGATATTTAATGATGTTGAGTAGTTCTTCATGTACCTGTATCTTCTTTGAAGAAATGACTATTTGGTTCCTCTGTCCATTTTTAATTAGGTTATTATTATTATTTGCTATTGAATTGTAAGAGTTCCTTCATATTATATAATATATAACATATATGTACATGTATATATACTATATGTTTATATAGTATATTATATATTGTATATATCACACACTAACCATTTGACAGATTTGCAAATATGTTTTTGAATTCTGTAGATTCTTTTTTTTGTTGTTAATCATTCCTTTCCATTGCAGAGCAACATCAAGTTGTCCTATGAATTTATTTTTGCTTTTGTTGCTTATATGCACTTTTAACACCATAATTCCCCCTCTCCCATAGTTGCCAATACCAGGGTCTGGAACAGTTCTCCTTATGCCTTCTTCTAGAAGTTTTATGGTTTCAGGCCTTACTTATGAATCTTCAGTCCATTTTTCTGAGTGATGTAAGATAAAGGCCCATTTTCATTCTTTCACACATGAACGTCCAGTTTTTTTTTCTAACATGATTTGTGAAGAGACTATCCTTTCCCTATTGTGCATTCAAGGTGCCATTGTCAAATAC